TCCATGCAGAAGACATGTGTAAATTGGTCTTAAATTCTAGTGAATAAGAAAAACACGACATAGAGAAACTAATACTTGTGAGACGAGTAGCACAGCTCAGTAAAATCCCTTAAATAGTTTTGATTTGTTTTTACAACCCAAGTTTTGTAATTGGTTTACAAGACATTCTATTAGAATCCTAGGGGAAATAATCCAGGCCAGACTTGCTTCATATACGTCTATAACTTTCCTATGGGCTCAGTAAAATGCAATTATACTTTTCTGATGTCCTGCAACGGTAAGGGGAGGATCCCTTGAAACACAGCAAAATGCTTGGCATGGTATCATTCACATTCATCATGCACAGCCAATAGAGGCGCCTCTTTTGCCATGTGAAATGCTAGGAGAATCTGGTTCACTAATTGCAAAACTGTGCAGGACAAATATCTTTAATGTCTACATTACAAAAGGACCCCAGTGGCTACTTCACTGGTAACACTTTTCCTACAATGACAACACCGTTTTTCCTACAAGTACAGCCTGTCTGTTAATGAGCAAGTCTGAAACCTTCTATAAATCAGTACATATGCTCAACATGTATATGTCACCTGTATGTGCACTAGGAAACTACGACTGTGTCCTACACACATGGTTTCATGTTTTTCCTACCAACATGTATTACAAGGGGAATAAAAGTATAACACATAAAACACCCTTCATTCTGAATGTAGTACGTCACATTTTAAGTTACAATTGCATCCATATTAGACCTGGCACTGTACCACTGGATTTTATGCCATAAATGTATGCACTCTGAGCCTATGCATGAATTCAATAGAACAGCCTTCCACCTACTGGTGACTTGCGTATGTGTAGAATGACAACTCCCATTATTGCACATGCTGACTAGGAATGGTGACAACTGCAGTTCAAAACTTCCAGAGGATGTCAAAGGTGGGGAAGGCTGCGATGGGACTTGCTCCCTGACAGGTAACTTGTGCTAAAAAACATGAGAAGCACCAGGGTGGATCAGCCCAATAGTCCATCTAGTTCATCCTTTGTTTCATGCGGTGGCCAGCTAAACCCACAAGTAGGACATGGATGCAACAGTGCCCTCCCACTCAATTTGCCCAGCAATTGCCTACATAGAAATGCTGCCTTTGTCTGAGGCAGCATAAAGCCATTGTAAGCCTTATTCCTCCATGTCCAATCCTCTAAAAAAACCCCTGGCTTTCCTGCCAAATTGGTGTCCATCTCTAGATCTTAAGTAAGTGAATTCCATAGTCCGTCTATGTGCCGTGTGAAGCAGTACTTCCTTTTATCTACCAATAAGCTTCAAGTGATGACTCCAGGTTTTAGTACTGTGAAAGAGAGATCTACTTTATCCATGTCCTCTATTATACACACATAATGCTTTACACCCAACTCTTTTTTCTAAGCTAAAAATTGCAGGCGCCTTAATGGTTCCTCATAAGGGAGTTGCTCCAGCACCATTTTAGTTGTCCTTCTCTGAATTTTTTCCAACCCCGCAATAGCCATCCTTAGATGTGGTGCCCATAACTACATGGCATCTACTAAGTGTAGTTACAACATTGAAGATTTTGATAAGGGGAGTATTATTTTAGCATTTTTATTTCCAGTGTCTTTCCTAATTACGTCTCACACAGACTTTGCCTTTTTCACATCAGCCACATGCCAGGTGAACAGCTTCAATCGAGCTGCCTACCACAACCATAAGATTTCCTTCCTGGTCAGGAACTGCTAACTCCTATTCCACCAACAGGTACTTGAAGTTGGCATTTCCTCCACCATCTTACTTTACACTTGCTTAACATGAACTACATTTGCCATTTTGGTTCCCATTCTTTCAGTCTGGAGAGATTCTTTAGGAGCTCCTCAAAATCTCTTTTTATTTCAGTCACACACATAATTCTGTTCATTACCAAATTTGCCCACTTCAGCACTCAATCTTAATTCCAGATCATTTAAAAATTAACTAAAAAGTGTTTGCTCACTTCATTTATTACAGTTGTGGACCATTACATTAAAAAAAACAACATAAGTGCATTGTTAAACTGTAAACTGTATTAGTTTTCAGTTTAGACAGGGCTCTTCACTCAGGAAGGTGCATTTTTTAAACTTAATTTACTTAATACTGCAGTCATTAAAATTTGGCAACCTTTCCAGTAACATAAAAAGATATATCCCTTAAACAAATTAACACTAGAATAGAAGGATCATTACCATAAAGCTCTGTTATTATTGGTGCAACTAATTTCCCTCTGCATTCCCTATATAACATGAGAAAACATGTTCTACTAGTCTCGAACACAAAAACATACCATTCATTGTCTTGGATCTTACTAAATGATCCTCTTTATAGTGCTGATGAGATCACATAAAAGTGTAAAAAAGTACTTTGGAACAGTTAACATGGTATGTGCCATTGAACAGGAACATGAACAGTACAGATGCGGGGCTGCAGTAATTCCAGTATTATAATCAGTGCTTTTTTTGTCATAAACAGAGTTCCGGCACCTTTTTTTGACAGATTTTCCAAGTTTTAAAAGTAACTTTTGAAAATTTGATGTTTGGTCCACGTGGATTTGAATCGCCCTGTTGAGCGTAGTAGGTCGGCAGCAAAATCATTAAAACGGTGCGTGCGGGCTGCTTGTGTGTCGAGTCCGATGCATGCGTACTTCGTCCGCGCTGGTTGTGATGGCGCTGCTCGGCTTGTGACGCTGGTTGTTGATTGGTTGTGTGGTCGCGCGCTGAGTGCTTACTGTGGGTGGCGACCGTTATGTTTTGTTACACAACTGACGTGTGTGGGTGTGTGTACAGTGATTGACTACATGCAAAAGGTAAATGATTTCATGAGTTCCGGCACCTTTTTTCTTACAAAAAAAGCACTGATTATAACAATCATTTCAGTTGGATTAGAATAATTAAAAACAAGATTTGATATCTGCAGTTAGCTGAAAAATATGATCACAATACATATCTTTGTGGAATCCCCTCTGTTGATATTCCCAGTGGGAGAATTTACCATGTACTCCTTCTTTCTGCTTTTCTTTAACCAATTACTGATCCATTAATTATTGTATTTTATTGCTTTATTGTTATTGTGTTTTATATTGTATGTTTTATATCATATGTTTGTATTTTAATGTATATATTTTAAAATGTTATTTTAATTTATTGTTGTAAGCCGCCCCGAGGCTTCGGCGAATGGGGCAGCATAAAAATGTTTTAATAAATAAATAAATAAAAATAAAGAACCTCTTCTCCCATTATGAGACTGCTAAATCTTTGGTGATTTAGCCAAAGGTGTCTTTGGTGAGGGACTTTGTCAAAAACCTTTTGGAAATTCAGGTAAACGCCTGTCCCTGTTTACTGACACTCTCAAATAATGCTAAAACTAAGTGAGACAGGAGAAGGATCTTGGGGTTGTGGCAGATCACAAGCTAAATGTGAGATGATAGAGTGATGAAGCTGCAAAAAGGGCAAATGTTATTTCTGGCTGCAATGACAGAAGTATCACTTCCACAACATGTGAAGTACGAGTTCCTATACTCAGCACTACTCAGCCGTTACCTGGAGGACTGTGACCAGTTCTTGGCACCTAAGTTTTAGAAAGATGCAGAAAAGCTAGGAAGTGTACAGAGGAAGGCAACAAGGATGATTCAGGGACTGGAGGCAAAGTCCTATAGGAAAGAGAGAGCTTAGATATGTTCATCCTCAGGAACAGAAGACTGAGGGATTATATGACAGCACGCTGCAAGTACGTGAAAGGCTGTCACAAAGAAGGACAAAATTTCTTCTTATCCATTCCAGAGTGCAGAACATGAAATAATAGATTTAAGTTAAAAGAAACCAGATTTAGACTGGACACCAGGAATGTCTCCTCTCAATCATCCCAGGGAGCAGGACACAAAATAACAGGCTCAAGTTACGAGAACCCAGATTCTGGCTGAACATCAGGAGGAACTTCTTGACAATGGAACCAATTACCTAGGGAGGTTGTGGGGAGGCATTCAAAATGGAATGGATTAGCTTGGAGTCATGCAGAGGGGAGGTTGGACCTGATGACCCTCTTGGCCCCTTCCAACTCTACTATTCTATGATTCTGTGCTTACTAATTGTATCTTTAATACTACTTTCAGCCAATTTATGTGAAACTGAGAAACCATCCTGTAATTTCCCAGTTTTTTAGAAACTGGTGCTACATCAACCATTCAACAGTCCCCTAGTAGAGAAGAAGATCTTAGGGATGCCTTACGTATTTTGTTAAGTTAACCGTTTCATATTGGGTTAAGAAATCTAATATAGATGCCATCCAGGCCCAGTGATTTACTCGAGTTCAATATGTCAGTACAGATGAGCACATTGTATTTTATCAGCACTATCTGCTTTAGTTCTTCATAGTTCCTCCCCGAAGCATCTGTTCAGGGACATGTATCCTTGACTTTCTGCATTGAAGAAAGAATCCATTCAGGTTTTTTCAGCCACCTCTTTATCCTTTAATCATGCAAGCTTCAGCTGCCTCTCTAGCTAGTTTCCTGCTTCTGATGTATTTATAAATTTATTTTTGCTCTTGCTGTTGCTAGCCATATACCACTCAAAATGCTTTTTTTTGGGTTGCATTTCTTATTGCTCCCATCTCTTCTGCAGAAGCCTGTGCTTCCTTTTGCTTTCCTCATTCTATGCAGAACCTGTATGACAGAAGAGCACCTCTCAACATTAAGTGCACATTAAGTGGTGCTCATGGCCTATTGCCTTTCCCAGGGTTTGGAGTAGGAAGCCACGACGTAGAGCACACCGCTCACCAGGGAGCTCAAGCGCATGGGGGCGTGGCTTGGAGCTCCTAGTAGGCCGGGAGGCGGAGCATAGGCGAAAAAAGGATTTATTACAGGGCGAAGATGCGGAAGGGCGGGATGTCTCTTGCCTGAGGTTTCGCGTTCGGGCACGCTATTGGTTGGCAGCCGCGAGAGCGGAAGAAGCGGCGGAAAGCCTAGCGAGAGTGGCTTGTTGACCCCGGAAGTGTTTCCACAGAGGCCCGGGACTGTGTTCCAGGTCTGAATGAATCGGGCTGATTCATCGCGGCCCGGCGGAGCGGAAGGCGGCACGGGGCGATTGTTGGGGGAAGGAACAGCTGGAGAGCGGCGCGGTTCCTGCGGCCGCCTCGGCGACGGGTAGGCCTCGGGTGCGCGCGCGCGTGACGTCAGCCCCCGGCCCCCTCGAGCGCCCCGGCCTCGCGGCGGGAAGGGGAGACGGGCTCCCACCGCGTCGCGTGAGGTGCCCGGATGTCGGCATGGCGCGAGACTAGCGAGGCAGGGCCGCTGTCGCCCGTCTGCGAGCCGAGAGGAGTCAGCGCTGTGACGCCAGGCAGTCTCCGTGGCACGCCGCGGGGCTTGTTTCCGAGTAACTCTCCTTCGGTCGCCGCCCGTGGGAGCTTGGTGGCTTCTTTTCGTCGTCAGGGACGCGGGAGCGTTTCCCGAGGGCGGGGCGGGGGCTCTCCTAAGAGATGCCGGGGAACTTAGCTGGCGCTCTGAAGTTTAGCCCGGCTTGTGCTCTTCCGACGGCCACTTTCCCTGAGCGGCCTGGTCGCTTCCTCACCTCTCTATTTCGGGTCCTTGTTCCGAACCTATTTTCAGGGGGACGATGGAAGGAGCCCGGCTTCTGTCTAAGTCGATCCGTCACTGGACAGTACCTGAAAGATGAATATCGAGGCCATTGTAGGGAAACAAAACTTTCCTGGGAATAAGCCTGCCTTACTCAGTGAGATTTGCTTCTGAGCAGATACGTGAAAGATTGCACTGTCCGCGTCCCAGATTTCCCAAATTTAGGAAGTTAGAGTAATGTGAAGAATCCTAGAAACGGGTGCAACTTCTGTTTAAACGGTGTTGCCAAAAAGTATGGGAAGTGTCCTACTGAAGATAGTTTGAGGTTGGTGGTGGGCAGTCAGAGCTCCAAGCCCAAGAGATCTTAGTTTAGATCTTCACTCACATGTAATATTGAATACCTCTCTGTGGGGCACTTGACACTGTTTATTTGACTTTTTTAGTTTATAAATCACTCTAAAATCCAGCATATTTCTTACATGAATAGCATATGCTGTATATGAATAGTACACACTGGAAACAATATCTCTTTCACTTCTTTTGAAAGGCATTCTAATGTTTTGAGGAAATTGGAGTCTGGTGCAGAGGGTATATCCCAGCAGTTGTTCCAGCTACAGGCAGTTGTTTTGTTGCTGCTGTTATTTACTACTTTAGCATATCTTGGTGTGTGTCTTGGTTATTTTTGTAACAATCCAATTGAGAAATATTGCATCCAGTGAGTCTCACAAGACTGCTCCTCACTGGTTCAGTGTAGATTTAATCCCCCATCCCCTGGGTGTAGAGTCTTACCAGCTATAGTAGCGAGGAGCACTTAAACACTGTATCATAATCTTTGGCCCAAAGTTTTCAGTGGTGATGAAAAATGCATCCAGCAGAAATGTAGCTGTTTTTCAGTACTTGACTTTTATAACAAACATTTGTGCCACCATTCTCCATTGCATTATTTCTACTGTTTTTCTGCTTCAAAAACAACTTCTTGGGGGAGAGGGGTTTATTGGAAGTTTGGAAATGTTTCATAGTTACCTAGACTTAACATAAGTGGGTTTTTTTAAATCCAAAGAGTGAATTGTCATGATTTGTATGCATATGTTCTTGTAATACAAGTTATTTCATTGGAGCTGTTATACTTTTGTTGACTTAAGGCACAATCCTGTGGCCTCCCAATAATGTCTGGAGGGCCACAGGGCCCCACTGTATGGAGCTCCATCACCCTAATCTCAGTGCACAGTCTCTGATAGCCAAGCTCCCTCCCCTTGCCCTTTGCAGCTGGTACAGGGCAAACCATGCCAACTGCCTCTAAGTGGAAATGTCCTTGGAGACGGAAAAGGAGGTATGCCAGCGGCAGAGAGGAGAGGAAGCTGGAGCTAACAATGTATGCCAGTTCCTATCAATCTTTTAGTGAAATGTCGTCTAGATAAAATGCATAGGGCAAGGCATACCAGAAATTAATGCCACCACCTCTCACTCTGGCCATTGGATGCTCTTAAGTCTCTGACTTTTGAGGACTTGCATGCATCATTGGGGGAGGGAAGGTCAGGTTGCACCATTTAATTATTTTTGGAGGTTTTAATGTACCATCTGTTTGTCTACATATAGTACTCCAATCCAAAAGCTTAGAATGAGTAAAAAAGCTATTCTCTAATTCCACACGCACAATAGCAAAGTTTGTGTAGTGGCATTTTTATTTACATTTCTAATTCATCTGCATGTATTTAGCTTTTTCTCTGGCTAAATAAGGGGTGTCTTTGAAAAAGAAGCTGTGGAGGGGGGCAATATGGGCAACAAAAGTAGCTTAGATTAGCTACTAACATTCAGTCAAATTCTCTTTAAAAATACTTAGGGCTAATTTTGCTACTACTGTATATGCATGAAAGAGTTAATTCTCCCTACAGGTCAGTTCTAACAGTCCCTACATAGTGGCACAGGTCAGTTCTAACCTGAGAATGTGCATTAAAGTTAATTGAGGGTGCCGTGTGTAGGAGCTTGTAACATGTTAACAACGTGTAAGAAGTAATTAATAGACTATTTAACAAAATCAATAGCAGTATGTTTACACTGCTCTGGCTACATTCTATCCACACTTAAAATTCTAAGTAACAATTTTGCATTGAAATAGCTATTAAAACAATACTGCATTATGCATAAATATTTGAATATGGAAAGCTTATGATAATCAGGAGATCCTATTGTATTTGTGGAGAGCTCCTGTTGCAGTTTTTCATTTACTATTATTTTTTGGCACCTCAAAAGCATCCATCTGCAAACACTTGTCCATATGAAAATGTGAAAATGGTTTTCAGCTTTCATAAAAATGTTTAACAGTTGTAAATAGCTAATAAAGGCTGGTTTCCAACAGTCTCTTACAACTGGTGTGGTCTTGAAATTAACTTGAGTTTAGAAACTGAGAAGCCAGACCGTGTATGTTACTCACTGGCTCTCCACTATGGCTTGCAAAGATCTCCCACCATACTTACTGGAGTTCAGTACTGAGTAGGGCTGCTGTCAGCCAAATTAGGAAATACTCCTAAGCACATATTGAGAAAGCTCATTTCAACTAAATCTCAGGCTAAATTTAGAAATGTCCCTGTGCTTTGGTTTGCACATAACAAATGAACTTGAATATGGAGCAGGATGTTAGCTCTTATTTCTGTCAGCTGCCTTTTCATGACTATGACCTCACTCCTGGATAGTTCAGGTGACAACTTCTTAAACATTTTTCTGAAATACAGCTAGTGTGACTTTAACCCAATGTTTTATTAGCACAGGGGTAAACCACTTGTAAGGGATGCGGTGGTGCAGTGGGTTAAACTGCTGAGCTTGTTGATCAAAAGGTCAACAGTCAGAATTTGCAGACGGGGTGAGCTCCCATACTCTACCCCAGCTCCTGCCAACCTTGCAGTTTGAAAGCATGCAGATGCAAGTAGATAAAAAGGTACCACTTCGGTGGGCAGGTAGCAGCGTTCCGTGCACTTTGGTGTTTAGTCGTGCGGCCACATGACCACAGAGACTGGACAAACGCTGGCTCCCTCGACTAGGAAACGGAGATGTGCACCACCCCAACCGTCAGGCATGACTGGACTTAATGTCAAGGGGAAACCTTTACCTTTTTAAAGCCACCTGTGGCCATCCAGATGTTTTGACTCACACTTCCTATGATGATGAGCAATATTGGAAGTTGTGACCCTCGGGGTGTTTTGGCCTTCATAAATTGTACCCACCTGGCACTGGCAGCAGTCTCCCAGCATGCCTGGATTGTCTTCTCTCTTCTCCATGTAGCCCTCTGTGTTGTGGAAAACTCTGTTCGAAAGAGTTTCCTAGCCCTCTGGAACAGATTCTGAGGGACCTTTCCAGTTCCCAGCTGAACACTATTGAATTCAGCCTATAGTATCTATAAGGTAATATAGTATGCTAATCTTGCTTGACAAGTGGTATCTCACTCATGCTGACTCAAATATATAAATCTTGATAATGAAGATTTATATACTTGAGTTGGTAGGGATGTCATGCCACTTGCCAAGTAAGGTCAGCATACTAACACCTTTATAGATACATAGTAGCTGAGTTTTGGCAACCATTGGTATGTTTTAATATTGGCACAATATGTGTTGCTTAAATAGACAACTTTAGCTTAATTTGCTAGGCTGAATCAGATTGGTTTCTTAGCACCTATAATGTGACAACTTGTGATGAGAATAAGGTTATATTGTTAAATTGGACCCATAACATGTGCTTCTAATAGCCCATTCATGTTATGATTAGCTTTAGTACACACACACACACACACAATTGTACATCAAACTAGTATCCAGCAAAGAATAAAACATGAGTCCATTTGAAATATTATTTTGATAAATTGCGTATTGTAGCTCTAGAGAGAGTGCATTCCAGAGTTCAGAAGTGACACAGCAGAAAACCTTTTCCCATGTGCCTGACAAATAGTCCTCTGTAAGCAAGGGTGTCTTCAAAAGGACACCTTCTCTTTCCAGTTGAACAGGTTCATACCAAGATAGCCAGGACCCAAGCTGTTTAAAGCCTTAAAGGTTAAATCAATACCTTGAATTTTGCCAAGAAAAGAATTTTCAACCGATACAAGTCTTCTAATACTGGGTGACATGAACTGGGTTAGCAGTCTAGTTGCCATGTTTTGCGCCAGCTCAGTCTTCTAGAGGTTCCAAGAGAAGCCCCAGGAAGAGTGCATTGCACTACATTTAAATATGGTGTAAGCAAGTCCACATAACTGTTGCTGCAGCATACTGACTTTCAGGAACACTCCCAAGCTATGAATCTAATCAGCTGGAGGATACCTCCATCCAAAATAGGTTGAATTCCAGTCCCTGGGCCAGGATTTCTGTTGACCCACAGCATCACCCTTTCTTTCTGGATTTAATACAGCTTGTTCACCCTCATCCAGCTCATTATCAAGCCTACTAAATTTCAAGGGTGTTGACTGTTTCCTTGAAGTCAGGTAACAGATCAACCAGGGTGGATAAAAATCATTGATTTAAAAAAAAAATAATCCATTTTTTTCATTGAAAATTGATTTTTTTTTTAATTTAAATTGTATTTAAACATCTATCTAAAGGTAGTTCTGTTGAGGTACATTATAGTCCAAAGTTTATTCATCATGAAATAAGGATTAGTTTTTAATTATGTAGCATGAGACTGTATGAAATGTTTACATTTTTTGGTAAATCAATTCCATTAATCCTTTCACAATGTTATGCTCTTCCAGAGGTTTCTGCAAGATTATCGGGCAGTTTTTCTATCTAGAAGATGTTATCACAAATGCTTGGTTTTACAGTTCTCAAACTGTGAATGTGTGTCTGCTTCTTCACAGTAAAATGTTATAAACAGAGAGAGTTGAGAAAAAGACCTTAATCACATTGTTCTTCTGCAAATCTATGCACACAGAATCAACCCCTTACCTCTTAAGTGCTAAGTTTAAAAAAATCCAATGAATAGAAGAAAATTGCTGGGAATGGAATAGATCTGCCCAAGAAGCTGAGTGTAGGAGGGAGGGGCATGCAGTAAAAATGAAAGTGAAACCTTTTGAGCAGAATAGTGCCCAAGTCTTTGGCTCTTTTTATGTATAGCCTGAAGTTTATCATATTATTGTTTCCGGGGAGGAGAAAACCTATAATGGCAGCAGGCCATAAAAGAGAGCCAGCATGGGAATATTTTAATGAAGTTCCTCTAGGTATGGGTAAGGCAGGCATGCATGCAGGTTATGTAGAAAACTATGATTTAAATCTAATCTTACTGACTAGTGATTTGGTGGCATTTCATTCTAGAGCTCCAGATCATCTTTCCCAGCAATTTCATATAAATATTGCTGTAGAGTGAACTGCTGAGCGAGGTGCATCATCGGTGCCAGTGTGATTTAGGCATTTATGGAAGTTGTATCTGTTTACCTTAGCTTTACCCCAGTCCTGAGCTATTTTTTAACCAGTGCCATAGTATGATTGTGTGTGGTTTGTTTGTCTGTTTTTATTGTTTTGTAAATTTTTTTCAAATGAGAAACTGTATGTAAATATTGCTTCTAAATAATAAATAATGTAAGAGACAGAATGGAACCTTGTGGAACAAGAATCGCTACAATGTTGAACAGTAGCTTCTCAAACCACCTTATAGCAGAGGGCTTTATTTAATTCCAAAGCTCTCTGGGCAGTTCACTAAGTACATTAAAAATAACAATAGCAATATATTTATATATATTAAAACATTAAAAATCGGATTTAAACAGATATATCTTCAGAACTGAGTAACAGCTACCAGGCCCTAATAAGCTACTTGAATACCCAGAAGTAGAGTATGGTCTTTACCTGGCACTGAAAGGATATATAGAGTTGTTCCCAGGTGGGCTTCAGTGGGGAGTTCATTTCATAATGGAGGGGGACACTATTAAAAAGGCCCTTCTTGTTGCTACAAGAGCCTCCCTCGGAGTGGGAGTCAGAGATAGGCCCCAGAACTTGACTACAGTGTCCAGATAGATGACGTGCAGGAGAGGTTTTTGTCAGTTATAACATTCCCAAGCCATGTTGGGCTTTATAAGATTAAAATCAGCAGATAGAATTGGGCTCAGAAGGACACAGGCAGCCAGTGGAAGCAGGCCAGAAATGGCATCATGTGATCACATTGGTTGATCCTGTTATTACTGTGGCTGCCACATTTTGCACAAGCTGCAGCTTCCAAACAGTTTTCAAGGACAGCCCCACATGGAGTGCACTGCAGTAGTTTAGGTTAGAGATTACCTGATAGCAGACTATCTCTGTCCGGTTAGGGGTGTAGCCGAGCTACTCAGCCATTTAGGCCACCTTGGCCTCAAGTGACAAATATGACCCAAGGAGCACCCCTAAGCTACAAACCTGCTTCTTCAAGGGGAGTGCAACCCCATCTAGAAGAGGTTGAATTCCTTCCATTCAGTCAGAAGAACCACTAATAGCATCTCAGTCTTGCCTGGATTGAGCTTCCGTTTGTTAGCCCTCATCCAGTCCATTATCATGGCCATGCACCTGTTCAGCACATCCACACTCTTGCCCCCAGAAGATGGAAAGGAGAGAGAGAAAGAGCTGCGTGTCATCAGCTCTATGACAATGCATGCCACAACTCTAGATGACCTCGTTCAGTGATTTCACATAGATGTTAAACAACATGGGGGACAAGACTGACCTCTGGGGCACCCCATACTGGAGATATTTTGTCATATGTAGAGTAGAACCATTGAAATCAATGGAATCTGCATATTGACTTTAGTGAGTCTTGTCTAAGTAACTAAGCCTGGGTTCAACCCGTAGCTTGTTTTAAATAGATAACTTTATTCTCCTGTGTTGGTTTGAAACAGTAATTTTCCTTAAAAACAACCTTTCCCCTTCTCCATTAGTGATTTCCATAGTACTTTAAAAAACAATGGTATTGCCTATGTACAATTCAGAAAAGGTATGTGCATACAAAACCTGGAGGAGATTCTAGGATTTTATTCAATGGGATTGTTCTCATTACCTCAACCCATTTCACTTGGGTTCAGGCCTCATTTTGGGAAAGAACTGCCTTTGGTCACCTTGATGGATGAGCTGTTGTATGGGAAAGAGACAGAAAGCATGTGACCCTGTTGATACTGTTTGATTTATCAGCAGCTTTTGATATTGTTGACCACAGTGGTCCTTGTAATCATCTCTTCCAGTTATGAATTGGGGGCACTGTTGTACAGTAGTCTGCTCCTGTTAAGGAATGCTGCTGGGTACCAACTTGTCCCCAGTGCTAGATAAAGTGTATATAAAGTTGCTGGAGATAATCATTGGGAGATTTTGAAGCAAGGATTTACCTGAGAGCATGGTGCCTGTAGGCAGCATATAACTGCCGGAAGTGAGCATAGCAATCAGCTCAGTCAGACAGGTGAGCAGATGAGGAGGGGAGTGCACTGGCATTGAGGAAGGAAGTGGGCAGAGGAGAAGACAGGGAAGGAGCTGTGGCAGGTAGAAAGAAGAATGGGTAAAGGTGTGTGAAGGAAATCCCAAGTGTGTGAGGAGGAGTAGGAGGAGTGGTGGGCAGAAAAGGGGGGGAAGAAAAGAGAATCCCTGGAGGGGTGGCGGAAAAGAGAAACTTCTGGGACTAAATAACAAATGTGCCCACAGACCCAGAAAGGTTGTCTGCCAATAAGGTTTCACCACTATGCTAATGTCACAGAGAAATGGAGCCACGTGGCACCAGAATCAAGAGAAGCTTTGTATGTTCTGAACCATTGCCTGGACACAGTGATAGCTTGGATGAACGCCAGTAAACTGAGCCTAAATCCTGACAAGATGGGGACTCTGGATGGTCAGTTCCTTGGTTCAGAAATTGAGGAGTTGGTCTATCACATATCAGGTTGCACTCTCCCAGAAGGAACGGTGTCTGGGATTGTTCCTGAATTCCTCAAATGACTTCTGTGGTGAGGAGCACATATTACCACTCTAGCTAGTATGTCAACTATGTCCTTTCCTAGGCAGGGATGGCCTGACCTTCATTGATAACCTCACATTTGGATTATTGTAGTGTGCTTTATGTGGGGCTACCCATGTGCTGCTGATGCAGCTGGTATGGAAGGCAGCTTTGTAGCATGTCCGACTATGCACGTGTTCCATCAATGTTAAAGTAGTTGGTTCAGATATCTGTTATCTACTGAGCCAAGTTAAAGGTCATGTTGGCATATAGCACCCTAAACAGTGTATTATCCAGTTTCCTGACAGATCACCTTCCACAATATAAATCTTGCTGAACTTTAGAGGTAACCTTGAGGTTACACCAGAATGTACAAACTGCTGTCTTGTGGCATCCAAAGGGGAGGGGGTGCTTCTCTGTGGTGGCACCTACCTTATGACATGCTCTTCATGCTGGTATTTGTGAGATACCAACTGTGGCAGTTTAGATACCAGTTAAAGCATCTCTTTGCCCAGGCTTTCCCTGATTGATTGTGCATCCCAATGTCTTTGATAATTATGGTACTGTGACTACTTGGTTTTAATATTAATTTATTTTAATATATTCTTTAGCATACTGTTTAGAGGTTTTAAAAATGTTAGTATGTACATTCATTAAATAAAAATTCTCTAAATAGTTGCTTTTCTTTCTGTTTAGGTAGGAACTAAAATTTGCCTCTGTCAAAATTTGGAGATCCAGCTGATATCAGGAAAAAGGTTGGTGAAAGGAACTCTAAACTAGGTGGGTAAAAGGTGAAAGTAAAATACTTCACATTACTTCTTTATATGTTACTGGTAGTACTGGTCACATCATCAGGAAACCTAATTCTGCTATCTAGCACATTGTGATAGGCCTTAGAACTAGCGTTGCTGATTCTTCAATCATAATGCACACCCTGTCTCTCAAACCCCCAGTTTTTCTTGGCAGCTGTCAAAGGAAACCACATATGCAAGGGATCTTTGCACACAGAGAGATGTGTTTAAGGATTTATCTCCCCTTTGATCAAAGATCAACATTGTTCCTCCCCTCCCCAGCTAGTCCATATGCTTGTGCACTTTTCACGGAGCACCTAGGTCCTTGCAAAAGTGTATCCCCCTTTTCCAAAAAAAAAAAAAAAAAATAATAATTAAATAAAAGTTCTGACAATGCTGGAGAGCTCCTTATTGGCTACTTTGGTTGTCAAAATGAGGATCATAAAAAGCCAGCTCTCAAACCAGTTTTTGTGTTCTCCTGCTAAAAAAGTGGGGAAAGCTGCATGCAGCCAAAATGACTCCCAATCATAGAAGGAAATGAGGAGAGAAATGCCAGCTACATCCAAGTGCCACTTGAGTACTTTTGGAGTCGCAGACACTGGTGCTCACCTGGGGTCTGCTTGCTGGAAGTGACAAGGGTTTTCTGTTTCTCTTGCCAAAGGTCCCTGCAGCTGATTCTCCATATCCACAATGGGGTTGGTTGTCTGGGTTTGAATGTCAGAACAACCCATTGTGACTACAGCAACCCTACAACAGCCCATGGGTTGTTGAGGTGGCTTATTCTCCACAAGCTACCCTGAGGAAATCAGGTCAGGTTTGGATGACATGACATGAATCTTATGTTGAAATCTACCGTTGTCTTGTCATGTGAATTCAGTCAATGTATGCTCATGTGAATTCTGTAATGGTTAAAAGACCAAACACAAATGTACTAAATATACATTAGTTAACAGATTAGCCCTGCTGCCCACAAATGTGTGCTTTTACCTGGTAACTTGTTTATAATGGCCTCTGACTCATGCTCCTTTTCTCCCCTATGCCCGTTTTATGGACTTTGGTACCACTGGATAGCACTGACCATCTAACCAGAAGCATTCTAATTGGAATACTTATGATTCCAAGCTGGAGTGAAAGGATCATGTTCTTACCACCTCAGGTTGGATTCTTTCCACTGCTCTCTTCTGGAGGCCAATTGTGAAAGGATTCTAAGAGCATGTTAGCCTTATTTCAGTTCTGAAATCTTAATTTCTGCCTCTGATGCTCAGGATTTCAGAGAGAACATTGCACTGGCTTTCATACATGCCTTGCATATTCTACTTGTAATGTTAAGAGTGTCATTTAGTTATTATGTGTTTTATTACAAAGAATGATACTTTTAATTCTGGTTATTTTTGTTCTTTAGCATTAAATAACTAATATATTTCATTTATTCAGTCTAAGTCTATTTTTTTTAATGACTAAATCTTTCAAGTAATTGATCTTTTGTCTTGCTGAGTATGCAACTACACACACACTTACACCCATACAACTTTCCATGTTTCCATCTGCATTCAAGACTTGAATCATATTGCAGATAAGCTGATTAAATTATGTCATGGAGAAGCTAGTAGCCTCTTGTTTTTACTCACACTGGCAATTGAGGCTCTGTGTAACTATTCAATCTTTCTCATAAACTTATCTCTTCCTAAAAGTTTCAAAAACTTTTATTAACTGATTGCAGTGAAAGCAACCTGCAAACTGATTGGCTTGATCCAAAGCTTTGTATACATTCCAGTCTGGAGCTATTATAAAAGGAGGAGTTCCATATACTTAAAGGATTCCCTGGACTGGGTTGACTGACTTTACTGTACTCAATCAGAAATTAATAGAAACTAAGCTACAGTGGATAAATTACATATTGGGGCAATATATCCAACAATGTGAATCTGCTTACAATATTAAAGTACTATTAGCAGTGTGCAGAGGCAGGCAGGAGAAATTTTCAGGAAACCTGTTATGCCAGGTTACATTGGCAACGCCTACATTTAGCAGCCACTAAGCCTAATGGTATGGCAATGGTGTAAGTGGGCCAGCAGTGTTGTATGCTGGACTGGATCCTTAGGGTTCAATCTGATGCTGTTCAGACTTAAATTAGACGCATTGTTAGACTAACATTGGGTACAGCTCATTGGTACGACCCTTACTAATAATATAAACACTTCAGTAGGAAGAGGAAAGATGCCGGTTATAATTAAAGTCCCTTTACAATTGAAGTCTAGACCAAGGATCTGTAGAGATGGTCTTTTGGTAACCACTTTTCTTGCCATTTCCTTGCGCTATGGAGCTATGTGCCTTCTGTTATGAAGGTCCTCACCCAGGTCCTAAATATGTGTACACTGTTGATACTCAGGTGAAAGGGGTAGTCTGCTTGTGTTCAGTTTTGGGGCTATAGCCTGGGGAGTCTTAAAAATTAATGAACAGTTCTGATCACTTAAAACAGTGGTGGGCAGCTATGGCCATCTAGAAGTTTTGATTTTTGATCCATCAGCACGAATTATGCTGGTTACCCTTGATGGAGTTGTAAAAAGACATCTGGATTGCTAAAAGTATGCTACTTATATTTTTAGATGTTCAGAACTAGCAGTGAAATGTTGCATCTGAAATTAAGTTGCTACTAAAGGAATATTTCAAATGCTAGAATGTCTATGGCTCAGAATTTCTACAGCATTCCATATTTAACAAGATTTGAAATGCATGGAACAACTGTATAGCCCTTAGTATTTTAACTAAAGGCATTTAATGTTTACTTTACAGCATTCTTTTGGTGTAATGAGTTCATTAAAAAAGCTTTTGATGCTAATTCAGAAATTTATAATCTGTTCAGCGTCTTTCACATGCAGTTTTGATGCTAACTGACAAGCTGTAAGTTAATTAGCACAGAACTTACTAATGAGGATGTTAAAAATCTTCACTTTTGAATTATTTTTATATTGATGTGCTCTGGACAAATTGAAGGAAACTCTAATTCTGGTGATGAGTTTTCTTCAGTTTGCCATGCAGATGCTTTTTCAGGTAAGTGGGGTCAGAGAAGGAAGTAAATGATTTTTGCAATTAAAAAAAAGTATCACAAGAAATGCTTGTCTTTTTCAAAACTGGGGATAACCCAAAACCAGCGCAGTTAAAATAAGGTTGTTAATTAGTATGGAAGACAGCTTCTTAAATTAATATGTGGTGTTAATTAACAGGAAGTCTGATGTTGTGTTGTAATTACTACCAATATTTTTGACATAATGAGTGACTGAAGGTGAATTGTATGGAGAACAATTTAGTAAACACATTAGAGCCTAGGTATGCTATTTTTTGTTGTTGTTTCTTTTCTTTAGAAAATATGGATAGACTTCTGCGACTTGGAGGAGGTATGCCTGGTCTGGGACAGGTTAGTATACAGCTTGTTAATATATTTTTTTCCTAAGTTTTAACTACAGTTGCCACCCATATTCTTCACTCCCAACCCCCTCCCCAAAAGATGTGTTGCAGAAAGTTGAAGTGGGAGAAGTACAGAAAATCGTACTTCTGTTTTCTGTTATACATTGTTGACTGAACATTAGATACACATTTTGAAAGAGTAGCTTTGTATGTTCTTGTTGCAGAAAAAAATGGATCTTGTGTCAACTTAAAGACTAACACGTTTTTGTGGCATGAAATTTAACAAGTAAAAAAACAATTTCATTAGCTACATCAGTGTAAATTATTTTACTAGCTCTAATTTGTCTTTACATACAGAATTTTGCTAAAGTTAAAATATGGAAACAAGAAAAAGCAAGGTATTTTCATTGACACATGGGATCATATTCATAGCAGGTGACTTGATATAAGCCATTCTGGTATGCAGTAGAAAACCGAAGTGAATTTCAAATAAAATATTCATCACTGATGGCTCAAATCTCATTTCAAACAGTGCCGTTCATAATGTGAGTGGATCGTATGATTTATAATGCTTTTCCATTGGTGTGTTAGTTTTCTGCATGCTTTTACATTCATATGCTATCATGCTTCATAGAATATTCACATAGCTCTGCGTGCAGATACATTATCATTTTTAATCATAATTCGGGATATTCCACTGCATAACTGTTACCACCCAGTGTTGCACCTTTTTGCACTCTTTTGCCCAGAAACCTCATTACTCCTGTTCTTTGATGCCTTTATAATAGTGGTTTCAACTTGAGGTTAAAACTGGTGCTAGCTTATCCATATATTTATCAAAACTATGATGACTGTTATGCAACTGCTGCTCACTAGAACCATTTTATCACATAATACTGTTCTTAGCAATGCTGTACAGTTCTTCCCAAATGCTTGTGAAGACAGATATCAGTGTCCTATTTTCCTTTGCCTTACTAGATGCTGGAGGTCTCCCCACAAAATAAATCCTGTTTGTTCCAAACTGTTTTAACTCATGTGATGTTGCTGTCAGGGCAGTGTTCTTTAGGAGACAAGCACTGCTTTTTTCCCTTCGAACCGAGCTTTTGTAAAAAGCTTTTAGATCTGCTTCATTAGCTCAGATGTCTGCATGAATAACTCAAAGTATAGTGACATTTTCTGTGCAGTATCTCTGTCTTAGAATTTGATGTTAGAACCAGTGTTTATCCTTAGCACTTTCTTCCAGATCCTGTTCAGAATTTGGTACACCAAAGCCTATATGCAAATTTGGTACACCCATATTCTTCACTCCCCCCCCAAAAATGTGGGGCTGAAAATTCATTATACAGTTGCTTGGTACATGAAATCTCTACGAGTAGATCAGAGCATTCCTCATCATTGTAATTTTCTGTATCATTCAGTATATCAGTTTGACTTCTTTAAGGTTGGCATGGAAATAAATAAAGATGTATTTGACATAGGACATGGAGCACTGCTGGGACAGTGTTTCTTATCCAGTAAGTACTGCCCAGATCTGCTTTTCCATTCTCAGAAGGGCTCTTGATGTAGTTGAGACCTCAAGGAAGTGGAAGAGAGAGGCAATTCTCACCACTCGCCCTCCCTACACAGCAATTCCCAAGCTGTGCTGAAGGATCCCCCAACCTTCCAGAGCAGATTTTCAGGGTGTGTGGGGTAAGAATTGCTACAGTCCACCCCCCAAATTAGCAGAGTTCTCCTCTAGAGCAAAACTTCCATTGCTGGAAACATTCATGTAATCACCCAGTGAATGTAGCTACTCCATCAGATTCCACTCTGATTAAATTGGAGTAGTAACTTTTGAAAGCTTCCGAAACTTGCTCTGTGTAGACTTTGGCCACAAAGCATCAACTGTGGGAATCTATAAGGTTTCCAGCAGGTTTGCAATATAGCTAGGCCTTGTTTGGAGACCTCAGGTTTTTTGAACTAGTACTTCAGCCTTTATTGCAATGCCCTAGCAGTTTGAAAAGAGTAGCTATAATCACAAATTGTAGCTGCCCCTTGTGTTCTTCTCTTGGCACATAAGATCTACATGATCCTACCAATGGCTTCATAGACTTTCATATGATATTGTGACCACAAGATAAATGAACCAAACTTCATATGGGTGGTTCTTCATTATTACAGATCCATCATGCTCATTTTTTACAAATAGTAGAGCTGGAACTGAGAAGCAGGGGCTTGTTCATAACCAAACATTCTTTCTAGTGAAGTTCTCATAAACTCTAACATTTTTCTGCCACGGACCATCCTTGATCTCACATGGCAGTGTTTGCTGATATCCTTCACATGCAAGGCAAATAAGTACGGACTTTCCAGTAGGCTACAGAAGATAGCTATACAAGTACTTTGTGTTGACTAAGCATTTGGAATTTACTAATATAATTAATGTAAATTAAATGTTCTCACTGCATTTCCTTTTCTGAATTCTAAAATGTCATTTCTAGTGCACAATAGCATTGACAGCTGGTGACATGATGATGCGGGTGGGTGGGTAAATAACCCAGAGTAACACTGTATACAGCCCTCAAAGAGTAAGCTAAACGCCAGCTAAGTCTGTCCTTGAATTCAGAACACAGCATCTTGCCATATTTGCTTATTGCAATTTTGGCTAGAAGCTTCTAAATGGTGTCATGTGGGAATAGGTGTAAAGGTAGATGATTTCTTTTTTTCTTTTTTAAAAAAGAGCATGGGGGAAGGGTGACCTGTCTCTTAGCCGTGTTAGCACTTCAACTGGAAATAAAGAAGCAAGAATTGCAAATAGCTATTTTGTTTGAATAATAGGCTTGCCAATTAGCCATCAAGTGCTTCCATCTGTGAAATTGTTGATCAGATGGGTTAGCTGGGACATTTCCAGATTAGGGCATTGTACATGGCACTTGAAAACTGTCACTTTGAAAGAGGATTCACGTATTGCATTGCTTGATGCTGTAGAAGCTTTCCTTTATTTTTTTTATTTTTAGAACTCATTGATAAAACCTGTAGCACTTAAGGGACCTGCCACTGATCTAAAAATCCTGTTGAACATCCTAATCTAGTGTATATAGAGGTTCAGCTTGCAGTCTTGCTTCTTTTTGGGTGGTTACAATAACAGGTTAATGATCCGTTAAAAAGCTAAATTCTAGTTTCCTTGTATTTATAGTTCAAGACAAGTTACATTGGGTCTTCCTTCTTCAGGAGTTTATTTAATCAGACACTTGTTTCTGTTTGTTCTGATGTACTACTACTAGTGCTACTACATCAGAACAAGCAATTTCCCCTTGTTTTTAAGAAATTAGTTTGTAAATTTTAATTTATTGTTCACTGCCTTTTGTATTCATATTACAATAAAGTGTGTGATAAAAATCATCTTATGCAAATAATTTTTGTGCTACTGACACCCATGTGAATATGACATGTATTTTTTTGCCTAATTTAATTCAATGTTGCATATTCCCAGCACAGTAGGACTTCCAGGTATATCTGCATGATCAGGATACAAAGCACTAATGAAAATCCCAAGTTGAAAGGTGTGTGGAAATCCCATCCCAATACCCACATAGCCCCAAAATAGAGGTAGGAAGGAGTACTTCCAGCACGAGAACAGCTGCTCCTGAGAGCTCTCAATTCCAAAGATATTCTTAATAGAGACCTGCAGTAAATCTGGGTTCTGGGGACTTTATTGGCTTGAAACAAGTGAACCATTCCTGTACCATCCAATAGCTTGCGGCTCTTACCTAAACAGGTATGTCTCTGATTCACCTGATCAAGAGAGAAAAATGTGGCCATATTGATAAGCCCCACTCAGCAGCAGATTTATAAATCTCAATTGAGTGTTTTAGGCTTCAAGAATGATTGCAAATTATGGATTGTAGTCCCTGAAACAGATAGCACAAAGTGGTACTATATTTATATGTAAGTATTGCTTAAACAGTATGAGAGAATAAAACAACTTTGTAATGAAGAAACATTGCTGGATACAATGCAGTTAGGGTGATTAAAAGTATAATAGAAATAGTGGCTAGAGGAATAATTACTGGAATTAAAGGTTAAATTCTTATTCCAAAAAAGTTATCACTGAGGTTTTATAGTTACCTGGCAGGTGTGTTCAGCAGAGCTTATGTAATTGCTTGTGTTGGAAGCAAGCAGGACGACAGACTAGGGCAAGGGTTCCCTCCAGACACGTGCTGTGCCAATTTTGCTAATTCTGTTTCTGATTCAGAGGAGGAATATTTAGATGGGATTGAAAAGCAGGATTTTGCTCAAGGCCCTGGGATACAGCAGGGAGTAAAGATGCCAGAGATGAGCTCAAACGCAGATAAGGGAGCATAGGTGGAGATCAGCCCTGGGGACAGTATGGAGGTGCAGGAAGTAGGAGGGGCTGTTGAGACAGGGGTATCTTCAAATAGAGATCAGCTGATTCCCTCTGACATAATTTCCATGGCTAGGTGGCAGCAGTGATGAGAGGCACTATTGGTTGAGAAGCATGAGGGAAAAAGGTGCACTCGCTTTCAGAGCATCTCTCCCAAAGGGTTGGTCACAAGCATGTTCATAGGGAGAGCTTTGGAAAATAACTGCTATATTGGTCTCAACAAACTACTTTGACTTGACTGGATGATTTACGTGTAGAGACAGTCAAGAGAGTTTTGCTGAGAATGGCTTGAGGCTGGTGATTGTTGAAGGGAAGAAATGCAGGTTGTTGCAGCTTGGTAGCCTTCTCATTCTCCTAAAATTTCCCTGTTCAGCCATGTTAAAGTCTTCATATTTATAATATTCTATCATCAGTTCAGGTCCTTTATCTTAAACATTTAAGTTCCTTGATTCAAACAGGAACTTCAGACCTAGTCACAGCTCTTCCACACAGTTCAACCAGAAAGCACTCTTGTAAAACAACCTTTAACTAAATCAAGAAGCATTTTGCTTCTGAGGATTAACCAAGACACCAGTGGAAAACTGCTTTGGTCCCACTATACACTCACTATATATCATTGAATGGCG